ACCACCACGACAGCAAGCAGCGTGGAAGTGACCGCATTGAATGTGCATGGTCCAATGCGCTCGATGGCTGCGATTGCGCGCTCGCGGGGGCTGCCGAGAGACTCCTTGAACATGTGGGCGATGTGCGCCGCATAATCCACTGCAAGGCCAACACAAATCAGAAGGTAGATGGTGGACACGCCACTGATGGTCACGTCCCAGAAGTACATGAAGCCGAGAGTATCCACGATGGACAGGGCCACGCACAGAACCACCCAAATGGCGATGCGGGGTGCAGGCACCAAGGCAAAAATCACCACCAAGATCACGCCGCCGCAGATCGCCAGGTTGCGAACCAGCTCAGTGTCAATGACGCCAACCTCCTCCCAGTAGAGGAAGTCGAAGCTGTAAGGGAAGGAGCCCGGGTACAGCTCATTGCACTTCGCTCGCATGGACTCCATGGTTGTGTAGCGGTTGGTGCCCAAATTTGTGGCTGCAAGCGAAAGCTCAGCATTGAAGCGATGAGCCTTGAGGCCTTCGGTGATCATGCAGCCGCTCGGAATGACTTCGGAGCTACCGTCCAAGTTGCAGGCACTGGAAGCCCAGATCATGGACCCCCGATACCGGGATCCGGTGGTGCCGCGGTACCAAGTGTAGAGAGCTGTGTAGAAGGCCGACGAATCCTGGAACGTGGCATCTGGGTCGGTTCGAGAGGGCGTGAAGACAGCGCTGGCGGTAGCTGCCTGAGATGGATCCACTGCCCACTCCATGAAATTCTCATACCAGCTATCGACTGCCACGTCCTGGTTCACAAGCTCCGAGGTGGTCAAGTAGTTGTGCAGCTCACGCATGTTGCTCTGAGCTTCAAACGTGGCAGGCGTCTCCCTCATGTTCACCGTGATGGGCGTGCCCGTCGCGAAGTACTCGGAGTTGATGTTGAAGAACTCGTTCACGTAGGAGGAGTCCGGGATGAACCACTCCAGCTTGAAGTCCTTGTAGATCATCGTGGATCCATAGATGCCCACGCCGGTCAAGACAGCGAACAGAACGAAAGTCACCACCTGTCCCACGGGTGTGGTGACACGCGTCATGAAAGCCTTCAGACCCTTCGCGAGGTGTCCTCCTTTAAAGGCTGCCTTAGGGAGGCAGCAGCCGAGGCAGCATCCCTGTGGATCCTCAATTGAGCGCTCCGGCACACGGCAGCAGCAGCAGCAGTCGATGCGGTTGGATTCGATGCGCCGGGCATTCAGGGCCAGGCAGGGCAGGAACACTGTGAGCTGGTAGGTGTAGCACAAGACGATGGACACGCCAGCATAGGTGCAGAACCAGCCCAGCGCTGGCAGCACAGTGGTAGCACCGACCAGGAAAGCAAGGGCGTCCGTTGCGGAGGTGATGAGGACAGAGATGCCGCCCGTCCGGGCCGTTGCCGCAATGCGGTCTGGGATGCTTTTCCCACTGTCCTCCCGAGAATGGCGGAGAAACTCGGAGCTCAGCACGAAGGCATCATCCACGCCCAGACCCAGCAGCAGGAAGTACAGGTTGTTGTTGAGATTGCCGTTGGGCACGCCGAAGTAGCCCATGAGGCCAAGGGTGCTAGCAATCGTCAAACCCACGATGAGCACTGCCACAAAGGACAGGAACATGCCAGAGTGAATCGCGTCGCACTTGCCGATCATGATCGCGCAGTAGAAGATGATCACGCCATAAGAAGCCGTGAGCTTGGAAATGTCCCCTCGGATTGCATTGCCGAACTCGTCGCCAAGAGACCGCTGGAACAAACCGCTGAACTTCAACAGATCATCCTCGGGGCAATCCAGCTTGGGCTCCGCACGAGTGTCGGCGTTCACGCCCATGAAGCACAGGGCTCTTCTCTCCCACTCGTCAGCAACTGGGTCGGAGACACCTGCGGTCGGGCAGAAGAGCTCGGCCTTGTTCAGCGCGAAGAAGCCTGACAGGTACTTTCCACCGGTGTACTTCTGATTGGCATCTAGCTGGAGACCACCAACCATGGTCCTAATCTTGGTCGGCTGGAACTCGAAAGCGCTCTCGGGGGCTTCACCCGTGGCGTTGGGATCCGTGTTCAGCTGCGTGTTCGAGTTGTTTGCGGCCTCGAAGCTGCCGAGGGTGATGCATCCACGATCGTGGCAGTTGGCCATGGAGATGGGCACTGTCACCTCCTCACCAGTGGCGCTCAGGAAGGTCCTTGTGGGACACTCCTGGTCGCAATAGGTGCGTGCCAAGACTCGGCAAGCGTTGCGCTCGGCAGTGGTGTCGTACTTCTGGCAGTTGGTGTCGAAGCATGGAGAGTTGGCATTTGCGATGGTGAGAGGGCAGAAGTTCTCCTGATCCTCCCACTCGTTTACCGCCAGCTTCACATTCTCGGCCGTCAGGGTTGAGATGATGTGGTCGTCACTCCTGAACACATCCAAGATGGACTGTCGCCCACAGAACGGCCCGAAGGCAAAGCACTTGCGCCCCTGGAAAACCACGCTTCCGTTCACGTTCTCCGGACGCCCATTGAAGGTCCAATCCCCGGCATACTGAGTCCAAGGACGATTGTCGCCTTCGCTTCGCTTGTGCCGCTCGTCCAAGTCCGCGACAATCTCGTCGCCGTCGATGGTGATGTTCAGGATCTTCTCGTTGATCTCGTGGAATCGCTGGAGATACTTCGGATCAAAGATGTTGCAATTCTCAGTGTCCACGTCGTTGCAGGTGACGGAGAAGAGGTTGAAGCGCGAGTTGGACGGATAGGTCTGCGAGACGTAGTCGTTATGCTCCAGGGCAATGGCTCCTGTGGGGACCCACTGCTTCTCCGGTCGTGTCTCGTTCGTCAGCATCGTGAACCCGCCGCCACAGGCCACCACGAAGAGGACACTGCCGACGAGACTCTTGACGGGGTGAGTGCCGACGACGCGGCCCACCTTCTCGAAGAAGCTTTCTAAGACCCGCTCGATGACTG